CAGTTTTCGACAGCCTTGCTCGGATCCTATCTAGAGTCCTGCAAATCAAGGATTTATCCGATCCGGTCTGGTTTGTTGTCAGACGTAATCTGTCCCACTTTGTATTTACTTTGATCAAGTCAGAGCGCATTGGATTGTTTTGTTCGTCAACAGGTTCGGATCTAATTTTACCAAAGTGGATACAGATTAAGATGGATTACATTAATGATAATGAGTCAAACTGTAGATTGACTATTATTGGGCTTTGATAAGCATTGGTCTTATCCAATATCAAGAAGTACAGGGATCCATTAATTATTTATCAACTATTATCTATTATTTACTTATTCGTTTGCTTTTAAATCCTTATATATCCTAGTACCCAACTATATCCGCGCAAAAGTACACCGATTATTGGACGATTATTCTGCTCAATTTCAAGTACGACACTGATAGTTGAGCCTGACTCGCAAGTTGCGCGACATTGGCTGTTTTCGTTTCGTCGTATTAATGCGCGTAATGAAAGCTACGTAAATTAGCGGTACTTACTATACCTCGGTTAAATGGACACGTTAGACAGATTTATATTACGAAATCGTTATTCGCGTGCTGTGCGGCGATCTGTCACTAACAAGTACTACCTGGCATACCTTTCGGTGATTAATTGGCGCTTCTCCTCGAGAAATTAATCTCGGCCAGCGCAAAACATTGACGCCGCGCCATAACGCTCGGTTAGGATCGCTCTTGGAAGTCGCTTTCACTCATCGAGACGCGCGATTCGCGCGCGTAAACAATTCGGCGCCGCCGTTAATCGTGCGAGATCGCACTGTGTTTTACAGTTTGGCAATTACTCAAGCACACGATTATTAATCGTCGCTTTTGCGTATCGATATCGCCGGGGAATACCTCGCGTGTATTTCGCACCGCGAAATATATAATATCGGCAGCGCGCGTGCACCTTATCGCCTCGACCGCGAGATTATGCGTCATTGCGGCCGGGACGATAACGGAATGTTTTCATGGTATTTTTGCCACCACGTGCTCTCGCGAATTCGGGAACCCGTTGTGTGTTTTCGCAAACGTGTCGCGCGCGTCAAGGTTAGATAATAATTCTCTTGCATCAGCGAGCAGATACCATTCCCCGATAGCGCGGACGGCGGGAGCGCGCCGACACACTACGAAAAACCGGTTAGTGCTTACTAAATCGGACTGCGGGCTGCTATATTCTTCTTTTTTGTCTTCCTCCCCCCCGCCACGTTGCGTTCGACTTAATGGCTTTCACGTGTATCGCCGTGCGTTGTTATTTTCGTTCTGGATTTTAAGCGTTCCCTTCTTCTCGCGAGTATCTCTCCAGGGTCGGCAACGGAGGAACGCCACGCCGAAAATGAAAGTTAGAAGGCCCGTCTCGTGCGTTTCCTACGTGTTGTCTAGAGATTATTCCCGCTCTCAACGTATACGATATTCACTCGGAGTAAATTGGCCGTTAGTTATACACGAATGATCCAACTCACATGAAACGCGTTTCGAGAAAAATAAAGATAAAAATTTGACGTGTGATTTAAAAAGTACAGATAGCACTGAGATTTTTCGTAATTGTATAAAAAGTCAAACAATTTTCTTCTCATTGAGGATATTTTTCGATAAGTTTAACGCTGAAAAATTGGTAAAAAAGGATCAACTAGTGAAAAACGGCGCAACTGTTAAAAATTAAAGACTGTGTTTTAATTAATTTTAGGCGCCCGTAAGTGTTGAATCTTTTTTTGTCTTATGTAGAATGGACTACCCATTGTTGATGAAACAAAACTTGAAAAATCATAATTTCGTGACTTGGATCATTCTTGCGTGATTATAGCCAATTTACGCAGAACAAGCCCAAACTTTCATTTCATTCGCATATTCTCTCGTAATTGCCTTGGAAAAATCGTTCAATTGATTAACACGCCTATAAATTTCGGGCAATCGATTAAACGGTCGTTACCTCTTGTCATTGAATATTTTATGTAAAAAAATATCGTTTCGTGTGCATTAAAATTTTATATTAAAACGTATCAAATATATATCGTATATTTTGTATGAAAAATCTGCGCTTTTTCATGAGCGAGAGGCAGCGGTATTTTTCCTTTCCGATATTTTTGGCGAGCGAACGCGTCGACTAGAGAGAGGCAGCAGCGTATCGATGACGCGATGTGTGTGTACGTTGATAATTTCCGCGTGCGGCTCGCGCGAGTGCTCACGTGTATTTTCAACGTGTCGTTCGGCTTGCCAAGTGGCGACGTCGCGCATAAAAAAAGAGCGGCGCCACGGCGCATTCTTCGCGTTTATCGACTCGCGTCTGCATTGTTGACTAATCGCGGTAATGCGCTGTAAACAGCGCTATTTACTCCGTGCGAGCGTCTAGCGCGCCACACTATATTCCTGTGTGTCGTGGCTATAAACGTAGTGTTTTTCATAACAGCGTGTTACATAACGACATTAGTCACCGCGCGTCTAACGCAACTGGCTAAGTTCTGCGAGTTCTGTCATTGGAACTAATAGGAGGCTTCACTTTCGCGACTGAGTTGTTTTCCGTAATGACAGCTTTCGACACGCCGCAGCCGAATATAGCGCAAATAACAGTGGACGTAGGAAACAATTAAAAAGAGTATGCGTGTGTGCTCTCGTAAGGCATTGATGCGTGCTTGATAAGAGTAGGCTTTATTAAATTTTAACGCGCTGCTCGCTGTTTTGTTGTGACTGCTAGAATTGCGACGTAACGCAGTTGGCGCCGGCGAAGTTATACTTTACGTGCGGGGCACGGACTTTGTATTTTTAGTAACACGATTAGTAACACGGTTTCGAGGTTGCAGTCACATTTAAAACTATGTTGTTTTCATGACGTAAGAATTATTCTCTGCAATTCCACTTATCAAGGACTCATATATTGCCATAAGAAGTGTATTTTCCATACGCACGCATACACAAACAGAATCTTTTAACATACAGACAATTCTCCTTTCACAGCTCACCCCTATATACATTTTTATTTGAATCAATATACCGATGATGTCACACAATATCTTCAACTGAAAGAGGGTAGAGTTCAGATTCAGAAAAGTGGCGACTGAAGCGAAATATCATTCTGAAGCTTACACAGAATCGGCATTCGAGTTACTTTTGTTTCATTAAACTTATTTTCCTGAAGCTTACTCTGAATTTCGTAAAAGAGAAAAAAGCGTGATCGGTTTGAATTACCACTACGAATTGGTGCGGCAGACAGGATTCTCCGAAATCACGACGCGAATTGGCAGTGTGTGTTGCATCGCGCTAACGAATGTTTCCCCTGGAAAACGTCGACTGTGTGCCGCACGACGCGCAATATTTCCGCGACCCTCGGCTGACATTGCCAAATATAACCAATACAGGCTGCGGTAGAGAACGGTTTCGCTAGAGTGGAGGCCAAGGTTGCGACTGATCCCCACCATTCTCTACTATGTTGTCGCCTATCGCTCGCTTTGCTCGCCCGCCCGCCCTCTCGTCTTCCTGCTGACGCAACTATGTTGCACGGCCGATCTGACCTTTGCGTCCGTCGTGATTCTCGTTTGCGCTGGTCGCATATCCTGGAGAAGGCGGAAGCCACCTCGCTGGCGCCCGCTGTCGTTCTATTTTATCGTTTTTGTTTTTCACCGTACCGCCGACGGAATCTCTTCTACATTGTCGCGCCAATAAGCGCCATTGATCCGCGCTGTCTATGCATTATTCATTACATCGAACGTTGCGCAGCAAAGCAACGATAAAGAAGCGAGTGAGCTTATTTATAGTCAGCGGCTATAGAGAGCGATTATAAAAAGTGGCAGTTGATTTATTTACCGTCAGTAGGCGTTAATCTTGATCTTTGAACTGTAACTAAATGCGCGATAAGACGCAGATTAGATGCGTTTTTATATCTGTTATGACTTATTGGAAAATGAGAAAACAGGCAGGAATTACGAAGGAGAGAAGACAGATATTGATTCCGCGTTTGCTTCGCTTTATCGCAAGACACAGTTATACAATTTCCTCGCGCACTCGTGGATCTTTGTGGATGATCGAATCATTCGAATCAGTGTTATTAAATCTAAAAAAATTGACATTTTATTTATCCGTCGTATCCATTGTATATCTTGAAGCACGACACGCTCTCGTCGTCGAATAGATCGTTCCAGCCGGGAAAATTTGATCTTTTTCACGACGATTGATATGGATCCGCGTAAAAGACATCGCACATACACGTGGATACGCGCTTAAAGATATTTCGTGTTAGTTTTCATCGTCGCACATGCATAAAGAAAGCATGAGTTTCGACGAGGGTCGTGTAGGGCCGACTGACGTCCTTGAAAGGGGAGTTGTCAAACGCGAGGGTCCGGAGTTATTATGAATCGCGAAAAATTCACTGGAACTCGAACATTCTTGTTGGAAGCCCTTTAAAGGGTCCGTTTACGACCCTGATGACCCGTGTGTCGTTGGATACTTGGATACTCGGACCCGCAGGAAGCAATTTTTACGTAGAAATTAAAGTGTACATATTAGTGTGAATAAAATTCATACTGACTCGCGACAATCAATGGATCGCATTAAATTTATAATAATTTTGTGGAATTCTAAATATATATAGCTTGAATCCGAAATACACAAGAATGAATCATGCATATATGATTATTTTACGCAAACATTTCGGCTTAATAATTAAAATTATATGCTTTGCGAGGAGTTTTAACATTTCAAACATCTACTAACCAGTAAATGCTGGAAGCAACGATTCTTCAATTTTTTAGAGCAGCATGTGATGCGCCTCTTTTTCATCTCTTATGCTTTTCTTCACATTTCCAAATTTATAAAAAATCTTTTCTCAACAATTTTTGGTGTTTTTTTTTTTTTTTTTTCAGACAAAGCTGCGGCGCCAATGGCATCTTCTCACGTCGCCTGGACTTCAGCGCTTTCAACAGTCTGCCACGTACCAAGCTGAATTCCTATCACATCAAGGTTAGTAATTAATTACTATTCTTCGACGCAGCGGAAGGTTTCGCCTGTGTAGGTGCGCGTGACGCGCTAACTTGTCAGCGAAATGGACCGACCGGTCGTGATGAATTGTTGACGATTACGACATTCGAGTCGCGTCACGCGAGATAGCAGTCTAGGCAAAACTCTGCGCTGAAGAGAAGCAAGAACTTCTTGGCGCAGAAATCGCCTGGTAGCCCTGAAATAATAAGAGCGCGACGAAAGTAAGAGGAAAATTATCATTTCCTCACGATAACGCGGTCACGCGATGGACTTTAAGTAATTCAGTATTTTTTACTGAACGTTTATCCACTCTCTCGTGTATACATGTAAAGTGTAGAAGGTAAATCGATATACACGGAATGAAGCTGACATCGGCTGAGACCAGCTTTAATCGCGATCGTCGCAGAAACTCGTTAAATTAATCTCAGCCGAGAGGCCGTCCTTTCCACGCGCGTAAATCAGGCATAAGCTACGCCCCCGGCGAATCCTTTCGTATCCCGTCGTGTAACACTGTCGTCCTACCCCAAATACGAGGAGAAATCAATACCAAACCGAGTGTTAGCGTGTATGTCCCTCTTTACGCACGCACGCACGCACGCACGCACGTTTATACGCGCGTCGACATTAAATAATACTTTTGCTCGCTGACGACTTTTTCCTTGAACTGTGCTATCCCTATTTAAAGTTCGTTTGCACTAGTAACCAGTTACTATTGACCTTCTCGTTAACTGACTTTTCTTCACGTATACTACTGGTAAGCACTGTAATCTGTGAGAAGGGCGGAGTATCGCTAACCCGGGATTAGTTAACCCGGATTGTCGAGGACACTCGGTTACACCAACACGTCAATTAGTGCTAACCCCGTTTAACCGACTTTTCCTTATCTGTCTATATATTGCGCCGTAATCACGAAGAAAACAACGAGACGTTATTCCGAAATTAATCGGGGCTGTTGGTGTGCAACTTGAGAACAACGCGCATGCCGTTATGAGTTCGCTCGCGAATTTCGCGAGGAATGAATCTCGAATTCTCTGTTTTTGAACGTATGAATGCAGGATATACGGTGACGAGTATGCATCTGACGATATCACAAGAAACAGTAACGTAATGTTTTCTTATAGCTCACAGCGAGAAAGAGAGAGAGAAAGATTGTTAAGTTTTAAGAAAGATAGAAATTGGTATTTTATGATCTGAAGCTATTGATTCTTTAATTAATTAGGAAGTACAGGACGTATATAATTGATAACATTTCTTCTCATATGTCGAGTTTATTTAATTATTCATTGCGATACAGCGAAATGAGAGGCAACATTAACAATTATTAGTGGTATAATTAAAATACTAACTCCAATATAAATGTACTTGAACCTATCTGATGCTATCTACTTACGCCTATCTGATATATATCATGTTTCAACTAATATTGGAATAATACAAATGCAAATGTCTAGGCAAACTCATAATAATTTTTCCGTATGATAAAACGCGTTTTACTTAACAAGTTCAAGTTACATAAATTAACTGTAACCCCGCACGAGGTTATATGACAAGTCAATAAAAAGATAGCGGCTTTTATTTGCATACATACCCGTCGGCGATGTAGCTCGCGATCCCGATATATTGACGCGACGGATCATGTGCCTTCGACGTTTCGCGTCGATAAAATATTATGTCTGGCTTGAGTCTATTATATATCGCGCCGAAAGTAGCCTCCTTGAAGGGGGTCTATAAGCGATGCACGCTCCAACCCCCCGTGATACCTAACAAACTTTGACCTACGACCTGGCCTCGACCTCCAAATTGCCTGCCATTTCGGCGCTTGTTTGCGGGAACGGAAAAAGAAAGGATGACTGGTAAAGCAGCCGCGGTTTCTCCCCTCCGAACCGTAGGATACGTGCTCGCAGGGTTCCTGACGACTTGTCCTGATAGAGTCACCCCGGTGTATTTTCGTCAGGACCTGCCAGCGCGCAATCCTCGTCAAAGAAGTTAACGACGCGGCTAATTAGCACCTCGAAACTTTGGGCTGATGCATCGTTCGCGCGAATTTTGCGGTTTCTCTCTCTTTCTCTCTCAATTCCTTCTTTCCTCTCTTTCTTTCTCACGCTGCGCACTATACTTACTCGTTACGGTATCATTCATTACCGTCGCCGTTATCGGCACACAACGGAAAGAAGAGCGATAACTCTTCCTGCGACTTAACGCGCGACCGTTCGCCGCGACGCGTTCGTGAAACCCATCTCGGCTGTTTTACCGTAGCCATATATTGTAGCTGTATTATTGTTTTTATAGCGCACACCCGGATAATTCTTTTTTTCCCGGGCTTACCAAAACGGTGCGCTTTATTGCGGTGCGTCGTGACGTTTATAGCCCGCGACGAACTGCCTGGCAATCCGTGCCGTCACCCACGGGAAATCTGCCTAGACGTACAGGGAATATCGGCCAAAGTATTGGCGTTCCTGTTTGCCGCTATAACTGAGTACATAGCTAATAATAGTTGATAATAATAATTCGTGACATGAAGGGAACTAGAAAAAGAAGGAAGACGGCGTTCACGCTCTTCCATCGTTGCGCAACAAAGCAGGCTCTGCACGGTGGTGGCCGTCGTCCATTCTCGAAGCGTGTCCTGCCGACGAACCGACGGCTGTTGGTTCCAGTTTTTCAATAATACCGGTTCTCTGGGCTTCACCGGCCGCCTAACGAAAGCCGTTAGGTAACTCGAGGGAGATCGATCTCTCGCGCGCGCGCGCGAGAGAGAAACCCGCGCCTCTCGCACAAGCGTGCGTGCGTGCACACACGCACAGCGTTCGTGCAGCAGATGAAAGGGATGCTCGTGAATATGGGGAGATCGAGAGGAGGAACAGGGCGAACCAGGGCACCATCGTAAACTGCTGGGAGCCCCTCGAGACACCCTCCGAGTCCTCCCATGGCAACCGCGTCCCGTAACAATCTCTCTTCGCTCTCGCGTAACCCTCTCGTATCGAGGGTGGTGGCTCCCTCTCGTTCACCCCTTTCTCTAGCGCGCTGCGAATTGCAAAATGCAAGGTTTGCCGTTCGCGCGTTGAATACCGATGTGCAACGGCGGCGACACCCTCGGCCGAAAGTCGCTTAAGACCGGGGATTGCCGCCGTGAATTGGAAGTCATGGCGATAACTCCTCCGTTAAGACCCTCCGTGGCGAGGGAAAAATCTCCCAAATGTTCTCCGTATTCTCCTCCCACGCGGCGCCACCGCCTCAAACCCTCGCTCGCGGTTCTCTTATCGTTTCGCTCTGGTCGCGGATTCCGCGATAACGATACCCCTTTCGCCGCAGGGGAGAGGAGCAGGGAGAGCGGTGAAAACTACGAAAATGTATAGGGTGTCTGACGCAAACTGTCTCATATCTCGTGTATATGTAGATCAGGTCAAACTGAACGCAAAATTCCTCTACCATTCAGCCAAACAGCCACGTTAAAGCTTAAATTGTTAATTAAATGATCTCGCGCGATACGGTATGACAGCGACGTCTGTAGTCGTGTGTTGGCAAATTAGGTGTGAACAAAGTCTCATCATTTGCAAATGATCACGTCAATTTTTAGTTATTAATTAAAGAGCATTGGTATATTTGCCAATATTCTTTAATTAATAACTAAAGATCCACATAGTTATTTGCAAAATGTTATAGGAGTGGTATAGAAATTTCTGTTCAGTTTGAGCCTACGAGAAGTAGATTGAGAAATCTTGCGAGTGAAAATGAAAGAACTTGTTTTACAAAAATCTATTTTTATTTTTCGACGCGACATTAATTTATTTTTAAAGCAATTAATTAATTTATAATTGAATGCAATTATAATTTATAATTGATTTATAATATGAATTTATAATTGAATTGGTTTTGGCGATGCTGATATACTAATCATGACGGTACGTAACTCTACGTATTAAGTTTTATCACGTTTTACCACGTTTTTGAGTACGAGTTCTCATCACTTTTTATTTTGTCCTCGTACAAGCACACGACGGCAGATGTTATCACAACTCATCCTCCGTATATCGCGCGCACCATTATCAATCTTCCTTAACTGATAACTCAAAATTTTCCGTGGTTGTTTGCGGTAGAGAAGATTTGCGTTTCAGTTTGATCTAATCTACGTGTAGACGAAGTATGGAACGCTTTGCGTCATACACCCCGTACAGAGGAGGGGGCTTTTCTTTCTCGGGGTGAGACGCGTTTGTGCGCAAATCGCGTCGGACCTCTAGGTGGTTCTGTTTCGTGCGAACGACCCCGTGGTTACGTCTAAACGATAAATCGGACAGGAGAAGCAGTGGAAATGGGAAAGTGGCGTGCCGCGATGCAGTAACAGTAACTCGACACGTGGCTTATATAGACGCTGAAACTAGGAGTGGCCCGGCGGGCGCGCGCTTGTACTCGTTTGCGCCTCGTCTCGACGATGCTGTTACATCCACCTTTGCACGTAACAAAAGCCGCCGCATGTTCGCAAATTGTTAACGCGATCTTGCGCGTATTCGCGCGCGAGTGCACGTAATTAACAATCGTATGCGCCCTGTGCGGAGTATCGCGCTTGATTTTGCCACGCGGTTTTTTCTCACCAGCGGTTGCAAATCGAAAATATAAATTTTCACAAGGTACATTTTTATTTTTTTTTCCGGATAATTAAAAAATTGCCGCAAATGCGCATTCGGTTCATTTTGCGTGACGTTCATAACTTCGTAAATTTCTTTCTCTCTCTCTCTCTCTCTCTCTCTCTCTCTCTCTCTCTCTCTTTTTGCATAGCGTCCGCGCCGGTTGAATGACCCGAATATTATCGTTTCGTCCAATATTCTCGATACGCTGCGCGCTACATCGGCACGATAGTTTATTATTGCGGTCTGTCGCGCGAACCGTCGCGGCTCTTTATCTTGCGACTTGGTAAATATTGTTCCTTGGGCGCTGTGACGAAGATAAATGCATCGAATGTCAGCGGCGTCGTGCTCGCAGAAAATACCGCGTGGACGAAATGTCAAGTACGTGGCGCTCTGTCTCTCCCCCGCCTCTTTTTTACCGTATATAAATAAGGAGATATTAATAATATCGGTAATAGAGGTAAGGCCGAAATATGAAAAGGAAGAAGTGAACGTATCCTCTCGTTTGCTGTTCGTTGTAACAAAGGCATTCGGGAAATATCGCGTTGACATTTTTATTTACTTCAAACAAATTACAATTTTTTCGAAATAAATTTCAAACGCAATTTTTTCGAAAAAATTTGAAAGTGAATAAAGCGCCATATAAAAGTAGACGTTTTTATCGAATGTTATCCGTGTAGAAAGTTTGGTCATTGATTCTGTAAATTTCATCGAACTTGAAGAACCAATCGAAAATCTCGAGACGTAACATTGTGCAGGCTATTGTCCTTTTGATGCTACAAGTTGTTATTTACTGTCCATGTCCCATATGGATTATTATAAAAATTCTTAATTCAGAAGTATTTGATGTTTGATTATCTCAGTATTCCACCTGCATCTAAGCTTTATCATTAATTTTAAGAGCAATGTATTATGTAACTTATTTAACTGCAGATAAAGTATAGACAATAAGTAAATACGAAATAATTAATACATAAGTAAATAATCTGATTTACGAATAAATTAACAAACTTTCTCTTTACTCTTAAAATATTTATTATTCTTTTTTACTAGAGTTTGAAATTTTGATTAGATCTGGAAATTCAAAAGAGGTGAAGAACTAACAATTATAAAAAGGAGGCTCATTACAAGTACAAAAATATAGGTACAAGTACAAATTAGCACTTGCGAAACTTAAAGTAGATACGAAAATTTTCGATTCGCGGGCCCATCCAATACACGTTACGGTCCTGGTAACACGGGCCGTCTCGAAAGTTTGCAGTGTTTTGATAACCGTCGGTTGTTACGATGTCTCAGTCACCAAGAGTACGCGTCATTGATTGGCGAGCGACAACAATAGCCGTCTGGCGGTTGACGACTTTGTTTTCTTTTTTTTCTCTGCCGATTTTGGTACTGTCGTGCGTCGCGTACCTTCTCGTGCCCGACTCATTACGTTTCGAGCCGATGAACGACGCACATACCGCGCGCGGAGTATGTGCATCGGTACTTTGGCCATTATTTTCGTTGGATGGTCAAGCCATCTCGTCGACTCTGGAAACATTTAATCGAGCTCCTGTCGGCGTCGCGTCGCGTCATTCAGCACGCGTTCTCCCGTTCGAATCGTACCTACGCGAGTGTCAGTGTTAGTGAGTATCCGGGACGACCGAGCAGGAACAAAATGCTGGTTCGGGAAGCGAGGACGCAGGACACCGGGACGCGGGTAGCGATACATCACATATCTCCAGGTGTGTCAAATCATTTATTATACCAGATGTTTCCCATTTCGAACGTCCTCCTCATTCTCTCTCACTGAGAATGAGCAAGAGATACCTGAGTCGAAATTTTGAATCTAAGTTTCGCATGTGCTGATTTATGCGTTCTAATAAAGTTTCTCTCAGACTGTAAATTCCATCTGGCAGCTACCGTCTTCCCTTTATTTCTGTTTATCATTGTACGGGATCCAAGTTTAAATAATTATTCGATACGTTACTTATATTTTTTTCTTGAAACTTCCTCCTCATTACCTACTTTGAATTTTCAAATTTCCTCAAGATTTACAACGATAAAAATTGATGAAAGGATTATATGCATAAAGTTTTTTTTATCTATCGGTTATTTATTCATATTGTTTAACATCTGCTTATTGCACATATTCTAATTATGAGTTATTTGAGTTATATGATTGATTTATATAATTAATATATTATAATGCTTACTGGAACTAAAAATAAAGGCTTTTAAATGTAGATATGAGGAATTGATAGGATATTAAATAAATTCGGATATTCATTCTAAAAATGTGTGCTTATATTATTAAACTTGGAGCCATTCTAGAGGTTCTTGGCAGGTTCTTTGTTGAGCTTCAAAATAAAAAAACTATAAAAATAATAAGTGTCGATAGTATCAAAATAGGACAAGTAGTTTGTGTAATATTGTGACTTGAGATTGCCCATTACTCTTTCAAATTTGATAGAATTAGTAGAGTGAATGAGAATTAGCAGACTGAGTGAGAAGCAAAGTTTCGACTTGGATATTTGACTGTTCAACACATTGCGCGTCGTACTCATTACTTCAACTCGGCAACCACGATAAGAGATTGCCCCGTTAGTAAACATTCGCAAACTACATTTTTTCCGGCATGGGCACGTTGTGTCCAAAGTGCGAACTGTCGTCAAGCACTCTTTTGCCATTTGCACAGCTCTAGTCCTTCCCGATGAGAGAATGTTTAATGGAAAAGTGCATTAACTGAGCCGAGTCTCGATGCAAATGCTCTGCTTCGAAATGCTAATGCAGGATCGAATTAATCTATGATGCTTTATACGACGAACGAGTGGGATTTGTCTCTCGTGAATATCTCGCGATACGTAGCGTCGGAAGTGGCGAGAATTTTATGAGAAGCGTTTCCCGTTTGTTTATCTACGTCACACACGCGGGTCCGTGGAGAACAAAGGAGGAAAGCAAACGGGAATCGGCAAAGAAAGAAAAATATACAAACCGTCGTCTGGGAGACAAGAGCGATCCGCCTCGCGCAGGATGGACCGCGTAATTTTCTCGAGGATTGCGCGCGCGGAACCCTCGTTGGTCTACACTGAGTGGCGCTAGAGCTCTGAATGATACTCGTGTTCGAGGGGGCAGAGATTAATTAAAAGGACCGCTCGTAAGAACGACGTCGAAAAGCTTTCCTCGTAATTCAGCCGCCTCTCGCGCCGAAAGAGATGAAAAGCCGGGCCTTTCTTTCCACGGCATCCTCCCGCGCGCCACGCGATTCTCTTCGCGTCGTCTCTCGCTTCCTCACTCGTTTCTATTCGATGGACATTGATTCCCAATGAGCTGACGCTGATGTACGACGGCGCTTCCGACCACCTCGCGCTAATAGAAAACGCCCGGAGGGGAATTTATTGTATATCGTGTCGTCGTGGTCGTGTTCTCTCCATTATTTTCTCAGACACTGAAATTCGGTACGTGTCGGTGATAGGATATGTACTGTCGGTTCTTTTTGTTAGACATTTCACTTCGTGCACTGCTCACAGAAATCAAGCGGTTATTTTTCTCTTTCGTATACAAGGTAAAATTGGTATTTCCAATGGCCCGCGGACGTATACCTAATTCTGGACATTTTTATTGTTTCGATCTTCAAACGAATATATTTAAACTTTTAACATAAAACTTATATACGTATATATTCTATATTGAAAGTTTAAATGTTTATATTTAAGAATCAAAACAATAAGAATGTCCAGTAATAAAGTCCGAGTTGAATACTTTTTTTAACGCCTAATTTAATCTAACTTAATAGACATTTACATGAACGCGATATTTTAGCTTTCATATTCGACCCGAGTTGCAGTACTATGCAACGGAATTACTTGTTCAATGTGATCCGCTGGTTGCTTCGAACGGTGTATTTTTAATGACGGAAAACTGATATATAAGTTTATAAAATACAGAACGCGTATATATCTCTCAATAAGATAGCTACCTGTTCGTCTATTTCGCACATGGGGAATTCTATTGCTATTATCTTTACGCAACGTTAATTGCCAGCTTCATAAATCTTGGTTATGATCCCACGCGTTTGTTTAAATGTTAAACTGCTGATTGTTAGGCCGCGCAGCAGCTACCATGCTCCTTCGCCGCGTTCACGTTCGTAATGTGAAACCCATTGACCCTGCCTGGTCAAGCCGGCGCAAGAACAATCACGCCATTCTAAGGTAGTTCCCTAAGTAACGTAATCTTCCTGCCTCTCGCTGCTGCTGGCGTTGATTAAATTCGGTGCCGCGAAGTACGAAACGGTGGACGGAAGTTTAGCCGGCTCGAGTTTCGAGCGGTGTTTCAAGTCGGGCCGTACTAATTTCGTTACGACGTAAACGAGAAGCCGGTAGCCGCGACTACGAGAAGAAGTATTCGCACGTTCCATTAGCCTCCGCTAAAACTTCGATTGGATTTCAAGTCGCGAAGTTTTCGCTCACGCCGAGCTTAAAAATCTTCGCGTCCGAAAGTCGAAGTAAGTAACTCGATTCTGTTCTCTGCGCTGCGCTATTTTCACTGAAACACGCTGATGCGTCCGCCAATACCTTACGCGTATCGTAACACAGTAACGACGCGAAGAACAAAATTATCGATGAGAAATTGTTCGCGGGAAACACGAGAGAGAGAGTAGGTCTATATCTTTCTGTTGGAGTTTAAATGAAATTACTCGTAAACGGCTGTAGACGTGTATATATGCGTATTTTGCCTTCACTTTTCTCTCTCTCAACCTTTCTTCACAATGGCTTCTTCTTTTTTGTTTCCCGAGCGTATTTTGTGCATTAACCCTCGTTGCAGACTCGCAACACTCTCGGTGCACAATGGAGGTTTGCATTAAAGGTCATTAGCTTAAACGTTCGCCTTCCTGTTGCGCAACTCGCGCAATTCAACGTGCTGATATTCGTAAGACCGAGAGAGGGAAAGAGAGACAAGAGAGAGACAGAGTGTGTACTTGAATGCAAAATAGTCGCGTGGATCACTAATTTAACGACACCGCTTCGGCATGTTTTCCACTGTTAATGATCGCGTCTTGTTACAAACTTTATACCCAACATTAGCAGTCTTTCGAAGATTTGTTCAAATCTTTCTTTCTCCATCAGAGAATTTTTGTCTTCATTAAGAAACTTGCTAAGTAGCATTCCTTATTAATGTAAATATGTTACGCGTCAAATTAAATCGTCGTCACATCTAATAGTAATTGTCGCTCATTACTGCGACGTGTTTATTAATTTTTAAACGAAAAGACGCGAATTTTTTTATCTATCATTGCAACAACGCGATAGGTGCACGGTTCCTCCCCCGTCAACCGTGAGCTATGAAGGCGTAGGCGGACAGACTGTCCTTGAAATTTATCCCTGAACTGGGATAAGAGCCGCGGCTCTCCCTTGAGAAGCCGACCTACCTCAATCGGATCGATCCAAGATAGCTCTATGCTGCTCTCGCCTCACGTCACGCACACTAGTATTTTTGCCCGTGAACTTGATATATACGGACGATCTCCATTTTTTTTTTCCGAGGGCGAAAGAAAGAGCGTGGTCTGCTAGACGGTTGGCCGGTGCATGATTTATTCGAGCGGCTGAGTTATGGCATAACACGCGAGTGCAATGATTAATCTCTCTTGCTTTGTATCCTTCGTTTCTTCGCGTTACCACTCGGGTACACGGGAAAATTAAAGATTGAAGAAAAAATGAGAGGTAAGAAAAATTGAGGATGAGGAACGATATTTGATGTGCGTTTTCGCGCAATTTTACGATATGAGACATTAACATTACTCCGGTATGACAGGATAAAGTTTGCGAGTGCGTAAGTTTAAAAACTGCCCGAAGGTAGAGCGAATTTTTCATATGCGCATGGTAGCTGCGTTTTCTCACGCTGATAGACATGTCATCTTTTTTTTTTCCTTCTTCCTTTTCGCAATAACGACGAAGGGGAAGTGAGGGAATCGCAAATGGCAGATGCGTGCTTTCTCCTCATCTTCATCATCATTACGGGTAAGAATAACCGATGACCCCGCTCCTCTTTGACGAACGGAATTATGAATGATAATGAGCAACGGTGCCTTTCCTTCTTTCTCGCGCTCGTTAATTTGAAGAGTCACGGTAATTAAGGCAATTGTCAGGCGTGTTATTCCGCGCTGAAATTGTAAGTCGTCCAAAGTAACACGATCGCACTTCCCATGTTGGACACATTTTTTCATGTTTCTTGGTACAGTGAACGTTCACACGTGCAACGTCACGAGGTCGATTTTCCGCTAAGAGAGAGAGAGAGAAAACGATTAAACTAAAATTATATTTATTTTTTACCCAAACCATTTTTTTATCTGATACGAAAATAATAATGGTAACATACATATAAGGATTATCACTAACACATTATAGTAATTAAATAAACTGTCTTGGTCATAATTTATAGTAATTATTTTTCTATGCGATTTTAGTGTACAAACTTTTTTCTCGTGGTGTATGCGGCGGATGCAAAGCATTTTCGAAAGAAATTAAAAGACAAAGCGACCAATGAAAAGTAATTAGCTTATTACGCTTGATGCATATTATTCGCGAGCAGAATACCTTTTGTGAGTACGCATCGCTGTTGTTTCCGTGGTCGCGGTCGGCCATACATTTTTGGCAAACCGCTTCCCGCGGTGCATCGCGCTCTGACAAATCGCGGTTTCGCCGAGACAAAGCGTCCTCGCCGCGACTGAAACAATGAGCGGTCAAGC